TCGTATGCTCGCACAGATGGGACACAACGGTTTGCCTTGTCATACATACTCACATACATATACGTATGTGTATGTATATACGTGTATGTATGTAGGTACATGCATACCGGTGTATGTACTCAACAGGCAGCCACCACCACTGGTCACCACCATGCATCGTCGTCGCTAACAACAACAACAACAACAACACAATGACGATCTGGTGCACAATGAACGCGGCAGAGCTTGTCAATTTGATCGATTTTCTAGAACGAACTTCATATTAATTTGTACCTGCAGCACTCGCATCATCGCTCCTTGTACTCTGCGGACCACTGCGAACCAGCGCAGCGCTGACGATGCTCGACGGAGATAGTAAGAAATGAAAATTCATTGCTCCACAATTTCATTAAAACTATCGTAAATCAGTGCATTATTTACAACAAAAAAAAAAGAAAATTAATAAAAATAAAAATTGCTCGACACCTTTTTAATGAGCAGGTTCACACTTACGGTAAAGATGGACGACAGGCGCAGAGAGAGAGAGACAGAGAGAGAGAAATGCTTTAATAAAAAATTCTTAAAATATAAATATTTTGCATTCATGCATTTTCACAGGTGCATATATATGTACTTATTTAACACATTCCTCTCTAACTTATCCTCTTTACGCCACATAGATTTTCAATACAGGCGTTAATTTAAGTAAGAAAAGAAACAATATTATTAAACAACATAAACAACCCATGGTGTTCTGAAATCAAAAGCGGTTCCATGTAAAGTGAAAGTAAAAAGTCGGTTATATGCGACACAGGCCCAGTTATTGCCCGATAGGAGCCAATTAGTTTTCGTACTAGACCTTAGGAGTTATAAGTGTCAAATTATAAAGAAATCCAGTCCAATCTCCTACAATAGTTTCCGAGATATCCTTTTTGACCAAAGAAAGTAATATACCGTTATATGAGGGGTGGGCAAATCACACACTAGAACTCCGCCTTCTCTTCCTGATGCTTTTGAGGGGTTTCGGCACACGTTACCTATGGTCAGTCTTTTGATCTATACTAACTTTGGATAGTGGAGAGTTTGAATCAAAGAAAAATATGGGAAATGTCGGGGTTTTTGCTTAGTTCAACTGAATAGAAGTCCCAAGAAGATATAAATTAAAAACAATGCAATGTTCATATGACAAATCCAGTACATAATCGAGAGTATTTTGATTTTCTATTTTCACATACATTTTTTGGTTCTTTTAACTCCCTAAAACCTACTTTACATGCTAAACAACTGAAATTTATAATTCAGTCTTCTATTCGAAAAAGAGTTGCCACAAATGACAAATGTTTGCCCTAAGATTTTTGACGGCTCAGAAAGTAAACAAAACGAGTTTGGGATACATAACTAAAATAACTAAAATAATTCATAAAATATTTACGTTTCATATGCGCCTAAACGTTTTATTTGGCAAACCAATTATTCTTGATTTGTATGACAGCTCACATTGGAACCATTCACAATAGTAAAATCTATAAAGCCCCAGGTAGCAGCAGACCCGGTGCGAAGAAGTCAAATGAAAATAATGGGAGCGAGGGGGGCCACTGAGAAATACTTGTGTATGATAATTTACTTCAGGGTGTTCTATGTTTAATTAAAGTTAATAGAATATTCTATTCTTATGTAAAATTGTGCTAACAGTTGTCATATATATCACTTACAGGCTATGCTATATACTAACTTGCATACATATGCACATGCTTACACACATACAGGTATATTCGTATTGTTCGTTTCTAAATCGGACAAATCACTTTACAAATCTAACGATCATTAACTGATAGCCTTAAACATTGTATTATATATGTGTATACTACACAAATAGTAATAAGATATGTACTTGACTGCTGGCCATTATGGCATTCCCATTGAAAAAACAAAAAAAAAAAAACAAAAAAAACTTAGCATTAATTTTCCCTTTCGAGTTAATAGCCATGAAAATGAAGGTCCCTAGGCGCTTGGCTGGCAACATATCAAAATATCTATTAATGTGTAAATGGATGAATCTATGTATGTATGTGCATATGTATGTATGCATTTATATTTGCAGATACAGCAGGTAGAGGAGGCTTCCCCGTCTCTTTGCCTGCCAGCGAGATCGCATCGCCTAAATTCGAATGCAAAGATTGTCACGCTTGTCGTGTCGGTTGTAATTATCGCCACAGCTGAGGCCCAAAAATGGTTACTTAGTTTAACATGATAATTACTAAAAACCATCATAAAACAAATTAGTAGCCCTCGTACAGTGGCTTCATAATTAAATACACAGATCGAGGTATACATAGCAATACATGCATGCATAAACACAGCGCGCACATATGTACTCGTATCTACTTACTAACAAAAGCTTGTACTGTTGCCGCAAGTAGCCCAGTAGGAAATATATGCAGTGACCAAATAAACTAATTATTAACAGCACTTCACTCGTATATTTGTTTTAAGTTACTTATTTAAAATCAACTGAATATTTTTTGTGCTGTAGCTGAACTGCATCTGCATCAAACTCCTGCTCTTCGTGACTCGTTGTTAATGACAAACAAAGTAGAGTGTTCCGTACGTCATGCGGACTGGACGGCGGATGGGTAGACGTTCGGAATAATAACAATAACAGTAATTTATATAAAAAGTTCACAAACCCTCAGCCAACTGCGTTAAGTTTTCCAACAGGGTCACCGCAACAAGCAAACTCGAATTCCAATGAAGACACGTGTCCAGTGTAATCGTACAAACGACGTGAACGCCAAGAAAATGTAGTGCAAACAAGGAGACATTTGCCAAATAAAGTATGAAGAATTCTCAATCGAAGTCAGTCATAGAAATTTACTGACAGTAGCAGTTCCAATAAAATGGGTATCCTGGTAAAAGGCGAAGCAACAATAATGAGTTGGCGGTGGCTAACAAAAAAAACAAAAACAACTAAAGTCAGTCGAAAGTGATGTTTAAACACTTACCGATGATGGTCGATGTGCATATATGTATATATGCATACATACATACATATATAATTACTAGAACTTAAACAAAAAATATATGTATGTATGTTTGTAAATTTCTAAATACTCACTGGTGCATTACGTCAACAAAAGTTGGTGTACTCGAAGGAATATAAGATACACGTATGTATGTATGTACATATATGTATGTACAAAACGTTCAGGATATCAGTGCTTTTTGAACAAAATGTTTGTTCGGTAATCAATTTTCTGACAAAATAATTGATTAAAGAAAGAGTATTCAATATTTTTGTGAATATAAAATAAACCAAACCAGAAACACTGCAAAAAAAGTTTTTTTCTAATTCACAGTGAATTACAATTTTCTGCATTAAAAAAATAAACTGTGGAGGAAACGGTCATGTGCTTATAACAAATATATTGGTAACGACACCAAATTACTCCAATATTTCAAAGCATTTTTCACTTTCCTTTAAATTGCTTTCGTATTCGCCATTTAGAGCTTACTTTAGTTCTGAGAATTATTTATATTCAATAATAATTGCTTCCCAAGCAAATGCTATTATTATCAGGCCGAAAACCAAACCGTCCCTTTATTGATCTAAATCGAAGTGATCATCAATGAAGTTGGATATGCACATATATACATACATATCATACGTGTGCACATATATATATATGGATATGAATGTGTATGTTCAACGCCAAAAACAATGAACTTTTATTTTCGATAAATAACGTTTTTTGTTATTTTCTCTTTCGCGCACGCTCTCTCTCTCTCTATCTATCTCTCTAGTGTGTTGTCCTCTGATATGTGGGTAACAGTATTTATACGAGGGCATAGCTAAAGTTGCGAGGAATTCAAAATAAGAATAAATGGTAATCGCCTGGTTGGAGGTTCCCCTTGAGACGGTTTCATTTGCTGACAGTACAGGTCCGAATTAGCTGTTTGGCCGTAAGAGAGCAACTCATATGGGATGATTTCTTGTTAGTCGCACCAAGCACACAACAAAACCTGTGCCAAGTCATTGCTGTAGGTGATGCATTTTCATCAAGAGCTTCCTTGTGCATCCAGCCTTTTTCAAGGGGTTCCAATGTTTTAGTTGGGCAATGTTTAGCTCCTGCGCAATCAAATCAGTGCTTGCAAGACGATCAGACTTTACGATTTCCACTACTTTATAGACATTTTTCCCCAGCCACAGCCTTCCTCACCGTAGCGAATCTTTTACATCCAAACACATTCCATTTTCAGCTTCCTAACCAGAGTTTTCGCCTTTATCGCCGAAAAATTGTAGAGTATAGCTAAAGCTATGTATATTTGCTCGTTGCTGGTGTCCATATTCGACATGCGTTCAAATGGTTATGAGGGGCTTCGGCATGGCCGTGAGAAATCTGGGCTCTAGAGTGGGGAAACTGATCCGAATCCATCAACATTGTGCATTGCAACTCTGCCCGCTTCTATTTGCTAGTCCTTGGGCAATTTTACTGCACTGATTGATGGTTCCTTTAATTTTTCCACTAAGGTCGTTAAGTATTCTCCATATAAATTCATGAATACTGTTAACTATAGATGGACGACTTTAATTTCATTCAGAATAAATTGCACTTTTTTTTGCTTATTTTGATGGCAATTTGACTTTTGATTGGTCAACTCTCAGAAAAACTGTTTTCGTATTGTAATTTTAATTTGCTCGGAAAAGTGTCGGAAAATTGTATGCCTATCTTTGGGGCTTTGATATGTGTTACGGTCTAGCATTCCATATTCTTGTCTCAGTTTTCAATTTCACCATTTTAATATAAAGATCAGTGTGTAAGATTATTTCCATTTATTTTCTTAAAATATGGATTCGCCCAGCGGACAGAATAGGGTTTTTTATGGAGATTAAGATATTTGTGAAGATGTGGTCCACTTGGAATTAAATTTATGGGAGCTTCTCATAAATATTGATAACAATTAAACCCAGCTGAACTTTGATTTACACTTTAGTACTAATATTTTTGTATTCTTTTTTCTAGATATCGAGATGACGCTCTCTGTTGGGGTGATAGGTAAGTACGGACCTCCAATATTAAGTATATGCCATCATAAATCCATATATTGTATGATAAATATGTACACAGACCAAACTAATTGTTATATCTCTCCTAGAAAATCAATGGAAGAAATTGGCGCCGCCCAGTCGTCGGTCAATGCCAGGTAAGCAAATTTTAACATAAGGCGCGTTTCAATATCTTAAGGCACCAGTTCCTTTTAAATAGTTCGACCAAGAACTTTAACAGGAAAGTAATATTTTGATGAAAATGGTTTAATTTGCAATACAGATGTTTTCTTTTACTTTCTACTGTCGTCAAAATTAACGAAATAATCATTTTCCCTGGGAATTTCGTCATGTGTTATCACTCACTAATAACCAATTGATGCATCACTGACTCTTGCAACGCGAAACAATCTTTTTCCAATTTCTGCAGGGGACTGTCATCCTGGTTAGACCATTCGGTAATAACTGCAGCTTATCTATATTATACTGACGATTACATGCATAAAAGACTCTCACTATGCCCCACAGGTTCTCTATGGGACTTAAATCCGAAGACCAGAACGGCAAACCAATGGTTTCTTTGGAGCCAAAAATTGGTGACACCTCTCTAAAAGCCTCAAAGAAAGGCAGGAGTATTCGTTTAATACGAAGTTAACTGTGATACGAGCGCAGCTTTTGATGTAAAAGTCCACACACCATTACAGTGCTCTTTCACAAAATCTCTCCAACAGAACTGAAGCCCATCTGTTACATCAAGACAACAAAAAGAGTCCAACAGATATACTTTAGCATCAACAGCAATAACTTACCGTGCTCCGATTTTTGTAGATGGGTTTTTCTGCGAACCGTAGACGTGCTTGATTGTAGCGCGGCAAAAGATGAGGTTCACTGGATACGCCAAATCGTGCCTAATCAGTTGTCACTGATCTCGGTAAGGAAGTGCCAATTTTTTCTCGATTGGCTTGAAAACAATATAACTCCTAAGGCACCACGCGTGCCGTTGATTTCGTCGGACCGGTAATGAACTTTGTTAAATCGGGAACTTTGAGGAATCTAATCTCAAAATAGAACGAGAAGAAAGTACTGTCTTCCGAAGCCATACAAAAATCCGTATACCCTTCGAGAATCTCTCATATATATTGTATTGCATTTTATGATTCAATAATAATTCTCATATCTAAAAAAATTGGTTCTAAAAGGCTTTATGATATAGTGCACCGATTTCTATCATTTCCGACCCGAAATCTCATGAACAAATCGGTTTTAAGGAGACTATCATTATATGGAGTTTATGCATCCACTCAATCAGGGTCGAACGTCGAATCGGCAGAATATTACGGTTATTCCAAACTGGATATTACTACCTGAACCCGCTGAGAATAGTTGAGGGAGATGAAGAACACAAGTTGTTGGAAAGATCAGGTCGAGAAGGATCTGGCTGTGTTTGGTATCTTCAGTTGGCGCCAAATGACTAAAGGAAGATACGTCAGTCGCGTGAATGTTGGCTCAGCTATAATCTCATAAGCGGCGCCTACCCTAATTAAGAACACTCTTTCAATAAAACTATAATGTGCATTGGCATTCCCGAAAAGTTTCAAATACCTAAAACCTATAAAAATTGTTTAGAACCTGCGGAAGCCGCCATCACTTCTGAAGTCCGTGTTTGCCAATGCACCTACATACATACACATATAAACTTATGCTCTACTATTGCTCTAATTGCAATGCCTTTGCTTCGGTTTCTTTATTGTATTTCATTGTCCGCTACTGAATTTGTTATCATAATATTATTAGCTCATCATTGCGCTGCTGCGGACGTATGCGGAATTTTTTTTTCCTTTTGTTTTTGTAAGCTGCCGTTCGCGGCACGGCACTCAACGTTTAAGCTGAACAATGTCAACAATGACAACAACAAATCTTCAATGTTGACAACAGCTACAACCGCCACCACCACAAACAATAGTTGTAAGTTGTAAGAGCTGAAGCTGAGCATGAAGTTTTTAATGCGAATCACAGCTAAAAAAGTACAAATATCAGACTAATTGGATTTATGTTGTGACTGCTCATTTCAAAGTGCACAGACACAGGCAGCAATACAAAGAAAAACTGTTTAGAAAAAGTTACCCAAAGAAGTTAATGACTGTTAGCGAACTAGTCCGAAAATGACCAGGCAAAAAGGGAACAAAATTGATTATCTTTGATAAGCATGAAATTGTGCCTTCTTATGGGTTTCTCCTCCATTTTGTGGGACCTTTATTTTTAACACATCTCCTTGTGTAGGTGGTGGCCGAGTGAAGACCAAGTATTTCCCCGTTACTCTGCACAGGGTTTGGGACGAAATGTAGCACAGATAGAATCTGAAAACCAAAATATTTGCGTCTTATTGGAATGAATAAAAAATAGTCCGCCGACTAGTTGCTCTTGTCGCTTCCTTTGAAGGTTGCTCAAAAAGAGTTCATTTTATGGATGGGTATGGGATGGTACATACATATATAAATATGCATGTGTATACGTACATACTCGTACATACCTGTTGACAGCGGCTGACGGCTGACATTCTGATTTGTAAAGTGCTTGTTCTGACTGCGGTCTACAGCAAACGCATGTCTTGAACGCAGAATCTATTACAGACAGAGTGAGAGTAGGCTGATAGGCCTTGCGCACAGATCCACGCCAGAAGAAAAGTAATATTTTAATATTTACATATTTTCCTCCAACGAGTTTTCCAGTTTTCGTTCGGTGTTGATTAAAATGCTACGCTAATGTCAGGTCTCCGTGGGGAAGCAAAGAGAGCAGAGGAAAGCTGCGTAGTTTTCTTCAGATGAAAGAAATATCCCTTCTAGTATAAAATAATTATTAATTATTTTAAATGAAATATGAAATAAGGAATATGGATGTAAAACTGAAATATGGGAACGTAGCTTGTGGAAAATCCCAAAGATCTAATCATGCATGGTATTCATTGGCACCTTCCGTCAGCCAACCAGAAAAACGAAACTTTCCATCGCGTGCTCCAAAATAGAAAACGTATAATCTGAATAAAAAACGCACAGGCTTCTTCTATGGTGTCAGCTTCTCGACGTCAAGTTCGTGCCTTGGCTGTGATAAGGTAGAATTCTGTTCGCTTTTGCGTCCTCGGATTTCAATGAGAACTTAAACTAAAAGCTTTTCTTCTTACGTTTGAGTAGAAGTTAAACTTCGACATTTTGAAAATTACTACGAGAAGCTGAGCAACTCGGAATACAAAATGTTAACCAAACTGAGGAGATCGGTGATATGGACCCTTTTCAAAAACGGCAACTTAAAGTGGTCAATTTACTCTGTGAGGGTGGACAACAGGTGGAGAGAAAGTCAAGGCATAACCAATTTGTTCATCACTCTGAGCATTTTATGCGGCTTCACACTATTAAACATGGCACTTGCCCATCTCGAGCCCGATTTAACGGTTAGGATTATATTCATATTATATCTATAATCTTTAATGCATGTTTATGTACATATGTGCATATGTATTTATGTGTATATGTATGTATTTGAGTAACATCATTACATGGCGCTGATTTTGTTATGGTAGCATTCTTAGAGTTGAATGAAAATCAGTTTATCAGTTCTAAAATCAACAAGTAACCAAATTTTATTGCTTCCTTTATGGCATTCACACATGGTACATACATATAATATGTATTGTACATGTATCACCTCAATAAGTATTTTCTTCCTGAATCTTACCAAGAACTCGTTCTAAGCGTTCATTTAATTGTGTTGATATTTGTGCCAGTTGAGGTTTACAATTGCTTATCTTATCCACATCTCCCTTTTTCATTCATACGAAATTATAGGAAAAAAAATTAATTTTTTTTCACTTTTTAAAAATGGTATCATTGAGGTTTGGAATTAAGCGATAACTAAGAGCGCACCGATGGCATCTAATAATAATTTAATTTATGTATTCCAACCTGATAAATTCCGCAGAAGCGTCAGAAGATTTTGTTTATTTGAGTGTAAGAGTATGTGGCCAGTGTTGGTACTATTGGACCTTGTTTGCAACATTTCTCTTGAGAAGGGCTAGAGCTATGCTTTTTTTTACAGATCGTCATCATCCATGCTCCTTCTTCATATATGCAGGGCATTCCATACTACATTTGTCTTTTGGGACTGTCGCTAATCTTCGGCGTCCAAATAAAAACCGAGACCTATATAAAAATGGCTGCCGTAAAAACCAGTGATGAGGCGTCCTAACGAACAGGTTCAGGTTTATGTTCACGTCGTTCTGCACAATTAGGTATCCCTCTGACCTCTCAGCGACGCAAAATTCGCTGTTTCTACGCTTAGAATATTCGAATTTCGTCGTACAATGGCTGAAACGGAATCGTGTACAAAAAAATTGTCGGTTCTACGCCACGTAAGTCCTCAATTTATTGAAGAGGAACTTTTTCACGACCCAAAGATGACAATGTGGCGAGGTATTCGTGCTAATATGACCCGATGACCCTTTCTTCTTCAAATATGAACGTTATTAAGAAACAAGAACCGTAACTCAGGACGTTCTCCTGTTTTAATAACCGGTTTTTTATGCCAGTTATTCAGGAAAACGTCACGGAAAACTCCTGGTTACAACAAGACGGCTTGCTACCTCATACAACACGTGTTACAATGGTTTTTGTCACCATTCCTTGGATTCTTGATATGAACCTGAAGTCAAAGATTCCTAGCATCCGAGACAAACTTAAAGTTAACATCTATTCAGATCGAGAAATAGCCAAAATGTCGTTCAAATCTTTGGCAATGCAATACAATCTTCAAAAAGGGATGTAATCAAATCGTCTTGAATCAATGATATCATTTTTCAATTGAAAAAATTTGTTTCTCCCATTGGATTGGATTTGGGTTATATAAGAAGTCTCCGCGTTTTATATATTTTTAACAAAATTCTTCTGTGTTGAAAATCAATTTTATTCAAGTAATTTTAATTCTGACCGATTCTCTAAGACCTTTCACCATTTTTCGTGTAATTTTACAATTCTGTCAGTGTGGAACTTTTTTGGTTTGTCGCCGAAAAACTTGGCCAAAGGATTTTTTGCCATCAAGAGAGATTTGCAGAGACCTAGACACATGGAAAACAGACAGAACCTCTTTTTCGGCTTATCAGGGAGGTATT